GAAGGTGGGGGTGCTGGGACTGGCTTTCTGCTGCTGGGTAGATACTGAGCAGCCCTGCAGCAGCGAAAGCGTGTGCATGGGTATTCATGTGGGGAAATTAATTGAGGGGGGGTAGATCTGTGCTGGGTGTCCTGACTCCCAGAAGGATATTACAACAATTAGATAAAATGTTTGCGAGATATTTGTCAATCCCTGGATTTTGGGTTTCTAAAATATTGTGTGTTTCATTACGTACATTTATTTTTTGCTCTCTCGACTTGCCTCGAAAGCGTGTGCATGGGTATTCATGTGGGGAAATTAATTGAGGGGGGGTAGATCTGTGCTGGGTGTCCTGACTCCCAGAAGGATATTACAACAATTAGATAAAATGTTTGCGAGATATTTGTCAATCCCTGGATTTTGGGTTTCTAAAATATTGTGTGTTTCATTACGTACATTTATTTTTTGCTCTCTCGACTTGCCTATGAAACAGTTGTTTCTAGAGGCACAAAGTGGAAGTTTAGTTAGTGGTGTTCTGGTGTCTATAATTTTCTCTTTGTAGGTGGATATGCTGCACTCTAAAGTCTTGTTACCAAGAACATGGTCTTTATTGGGCGGCTTATGGCTGTGGAGAACTGCATTTTCACCACATATACAGATTTGCTTAATGCAGCAGCAAATTAAGGGCTGGCAGAGGATTCTTTCCACAAGCTGTGCAAACTGTGCGAAAAATCAACGGCTGAGACAAAAAAGAGTAATATCAGAAAAGAAACTGGTAAAGTCTAAACTAAAATTTAGATAGCTAAACTACCATATGTTCAAAGAACTTGCTCTATGCTAAATGAACAGACCACTCCCAGATATGTCTTTTGTGTATATTCTCTGCTTCCCTTTTCCCATAATGAAATGAAATGCAAGCCTTTGACATTATAAGGAAATATTGTTATGAAATATAATAAATTTTTTGAATACTGGAAAAATTAGTTGTAAGTAAATAAAAAGTTGTTTCATATAACAAAACTGTCATTTCACTTTGAACTTTATTCATGACAACTTCAGTGGTAGTATAAGTAAAGGAGTTGCTTTACTGTAGAGCAATGGTTCTCAACAAAAGCACTAACAAAGACAGTAAACATTACATTTCATATGGATGATGACTTGTTTATATTGCTCTATGTGCTGTACACTGAAATGTAAGTACAGATTGAATCTCTACTTTGGCACCCTTGGGACCTGACCAGTGCTGAACCAGAGAATTTGCCAAACCACGGGAAGTCAGTATTGTCTAGTAGCACTATCAACAGCTCCACTGGTTATTTGGCTATTAGAAGACATTTAGGGATAAATTAGAGCTAAATAACAGCACAGAATACCGAGAGCCAGGGCTGGTGTCTATAAACAAACTTTATGGGACTATGGGAAATTTGGCCACATCTGTGATAAGTGGACATCTGGCTAATTAGAATCATGCTGGACAACAGATGTTGCCAGACCATAGAGGGCTGGACTAGCTAGAGAGGTTCAACCTATATAATGTTTAGATTCTAATTGATTTCTAATTTATAGGGTAAAATGAGAGTGTAAGCAATTTTTCAATAATAGTGTGATGACACTTTTTTGTATTTTTATGCCTATAATATAATCAAGTAGTTTTTAAGTGAGATGAAACTTGGGGTATACTAAACAAAATTGTACGCATTAAAGGGGTACAGTAGGCAGGAAGGGATAGAGCCACTGCTGTAGAGGTTTTATCGATCATTGAACAATACATTTTTTTTTAGAGTCGCCATTTTAAAGTTATATTAGTGCTTTGCTTGTGTGTGTATGTGTTTTTGTTTTGTTTTTAAAAGAACTTGTGCAGGTCCCAAATTGAACAGTTATGGTGGCTGGTTAATTTTAGGGCCTTCATTTTTGATTAGCTGTTATCTTTTGGGTCTGTATTTCATCTGAAGGAAAATTATTGTTTATTATAAAAATTTATTAATATATCTAGTTAACTGAAAACAGTCATTTGCAATTTAATCATTTGGTGGTGCTAACTACTTTGGGAAAAGGAGACTTTTTAGGAATTATCACTTTTTCTTGCTTCAATAGAACCTCAGCATTGCAAACACCTTGATAGGGGAAATTGTTCTGAATAAAATGGTTTGGTTCTTTCAAAACTTTACAACTGAATGTTGAGTTAATAGGGCTTTAAAACTTTACTGTGCAGAAGAAAAATATTACTTTTAACCATCTTAATTTAAATGAAATAGGCACCAAAATAATTTTGCCTCGTCAAATCTTTTTTTAAACTTTCCCTTTTATTGTAAATATTGTATATTTTTGGGCTCCATGCACAAAATGCTTTCAGATTTCCCCACTCAGTTGGAAAAGTTCTTACAAATTCCTGGATCTCAGATCAGATGTTGGTAACTCCATGCTGACTAAATTGAGAGAATAGTGACTTTTAAATATGCTTAGACTGGCCTTTACAATTTTTTTTCCCCTATGTACAGTCAACTACCTAGGTCATTGAGTTTCTTTTTTTCCCTATGTACAGTCAACTACCTAGGTCATTGAGTTTCATAACTTTTCTGCAGAAGGTTCTCTGTAAGCTTCAGATCTTGTCAAATCAATGGAAGCAAACACTCCCATCATTTTTCCTTACTCCTCACAAATTGAGAATTACCAGCGCCAACCAGGGTTGCCTTCGGCATTCAATTTAGTGGGTTCTTACTAGAGTTTTTCCTTACTCCTCACAAATTGAGAGTTACCAGCACCAAGCAGGGTTGCCTTCAGCATTCAATTTAGTGGGTTCTTACTAGACCTGCTAAATTGAACACCAGAAGATCAGTCTCCAGTGTGGCAAGAGGAGATGTGGCCTAATATACATAATTAGGGAGAATGATCTATCAGCATCTGCTTTGTTGAATTTTTTGCTTGTGGAAACTCAGAAGTGTATGTTATATTCAAAGGGTCTTTTAAGGTGTGATTGTTTACATTCTTCAAGATGATTGCTAGCTAGAGGTCTTTCTTTGATTCATGTCTAAAGTGTAGCTATGCTATATATTCTGGTTTTCAAACAGAAATTGGAATTCCTGATGTTTAAAGATAACACAACTTTCTGTAGCTAGGTTTTGCAGGAACTTTCAGCTTGTTAAACAGAGGCTTGATAATGTTTCACTAAACTGTAGCAAAATCTCTTTTACAGACTCGATATTTCATAGATCATCGAAGAGTGAGTGTGACTGGAGGCCACGGAGGACAGGGTATTAACTCTTTTTATAGTGAACCTAGAAAAGAGTTTGGGGGTCCTGATGGCGGAAATGGAGGAGATGGGGGCCATGTTATTTTGAAAGGTAAAAGTTGCATATCCTTTTTTTGTCTCATATGCTACAAATGCGGGGATGTCTTGTTAAATATTGTCCCTTTGCTTAAAGGTATATATTTTTTTATATATCTTTCTGCAAATTGAGTTTGAGTGATAGAACTGATAAATATATATGACAGGAAACCATTTTGGTTTTGTTTCTTTACTCCTTTTGTTCTTTGTAATACTGCAAAGGACAGTCACTGCAAACGGGATGTGAATGACACTGATATTCTTACATGGTCTAGCTAGAAAGTATTTCATGTCAAACTGACTTGAAAATCGAATACCTTTTTAAAATCTCATAATATGCCTTGGAAATTGCTAACGCAGTCTTTCATCTCCCTACATTGACACAGATTGCTCTTGAAGCAGGGCATAAAACCAAGATTTATACTTTAGAGAACTATATACACACATTCAAGGTGCACTTTTTGACCTTGATTTAGTAATAAAAATACATGGCATGGCAGACATAAAACACTAAAAAATGTACCATAAGTTAGGTGAATACTAAAAAGAATCTAACATAACCTCTTGGGAGGGGCGAGGAGGAGGAACAGAACACATACGACATTCTAGTCATGTCTCTTAATGCACTTCTGGAAGACACTCAGGCATTACAATGTGAATGAGAGAGATGTAAGAACCTGAAAAGAATAAAATACACATTTGAAAATTGATATAGTGTACGTATGGTCTTAAAACAGACTTGAAACCTAATAATTGGCTTAATATCTATGAATTCCAAAGCAGAGTATTTCCCCAGATTGATTTAAATCAGTGATTTTTTAAACATGTTTTTCATTTTTACTTTGTAATTATTTTCCTAAAAAAAGGATGATTCTCATTGGCTAGTAACATTAAACATATTGATTTATAACTAAATATAGTCTTGACACATAAGCCTAGTTTAAATTACATTTCTCCCCCTGCACCCCATTGATCTAATCTATGCAACTTCAGCTAGACAAGTAGCGTAACCGAAGTTGATGTACTTACCACAGTGTCTTCCATGCAGTAAGGTTGTCAGGGTCTGCTCTCCCGTCGATTCTGGCCACTCTTCTTGTCCTGGAGTACCAGATTCCACGGAAGAATGCTCGGGAGTTGATTTATTGTATCTGCCTCCAGTGGATCAGTCAGTACAGTGTCAATCCACCATCTAGTGAAGATAACCTATATCTAAGGTACTTCTTTTTGCTAGCCAGCAGGATATACATTGTCTATACACATTTACATAAGCAATTATATAGCTTCACATACATTTATTAAGATTTTTTACACATTTTATGATAGAAAATGGAGAATAACATCTTACTAGCTCTTTTTTAATTTATGATTTGTGTCAAGTTGCATTTGGATGAAAATTAGAATTGATTTAAAAATGCACAAAAATGGTATTTAAAAATTTGGTTTTGATTGGTTAAATCCGTGGTGTCTAACCAGTTCTGAAGAACTAGCCAGACTCAACTGGCCAAATAGCCACATGTGGTTAGTGGCTAGCACATTGGACACCACGGAGTTAAATAAAACTACCTGAAAGATGCTGCATACGTCCAGAAAAAAGTAAGTTACTCAAAACAGGTTTACATTTTTAAAATTTCTGATATATTTTTAAAAAAGCATCTGGAGTTAGTGAATTGAACTAGTTGTTTTTGGTTAAAATGTCCTTCAAGATTTTTAGAAGTAGTAGATCTCATCCTCTCACACCTCATTTTTATTAATTTATTCCTTTTACACCTCATTTTTATTAATTTATTGGAAGAGAGCAACAAGCTTTTCTACTTAACTTCCAATCAGTATCTTAACTTTGAATGAATTAGTCATTGAATTAACAAGCTGAATAAATAATGAGAAGCATATTCTCTTTACACCTGTGGAAGAGGCTGCTGCTTGGCTGAAACGTGATTTAGCACTTCAACAAACTTTGGTTTTAAGTACTTAGCCAGTGACACTCACAAGTTCAATGATTTGACCTTTCTTTAAAACTTTGGCAGCCAACTGGTTTTAAGTACTTAGCCAGTGACACAAGTTCAATGATTTGACCTTTCTTTAAAACTTTGGCAGCCAAAACATTGCTTTATTAAAATAATTTAAATTGAATTGAATATAAGATTAGGTCTCAATATTAGTTGTCAAACATTAAATTTCATTTTAAAATTATATTTTTAACTTAAATGTTCTTAAAACTAATTAAATTAAAACCCCAACTTTTAGTTTAAAAAGAAAGTCACATTTTATTCGCTTTATTCTCCCTTTTGGTTATAGAAAATCAGAGTGGAGGGTTTTTACAGTGGTTAATGTTCGGTGTTTTGGGAATGCTAGGACTTTTGTTTTTCTCTGAAATTATAAGTTATTTTCAAAAGTGCCAAATCTTCTCATCTGATATACCTGTTTTTTTTAATTCCGTGTGTCCATTACCATGTTATTTGGAGTTTCTTGCATCTTTCAAAGGTGAGAAGAGATTTCTAACTTTGTTTTTGGTTCAGCAATTCTGTATTAAATTTGTGTTGGCTTTAGTTAACTTTATTTTGAGTTGATAGGACCCACTTTTTAACTGCAGTTTATTACGTTCAGAGTAGTTTAATGACGTTTGCGGAAAAGAGATCTCTTGTGACTAGGAGAAATGTGGAATTATTTTCACAGTGCCTCCAAAAGGGTCATTTTACTGACTTTAACAACTAGAAAGGAGTTATACTACTCTCTATTGTAGGGGAAGACATTTGTGATACTAGACAGGATGAAGAAGATCTGGTTGGATAAAGGCCCAAGAGATCCTGTATAGATATAATAGTCACGCTAAAGTCATCTTAGAAGAATGAATAGAATGGCAAGCTCTGCTCTTATCAGTTTTTATTTTTTTCAAAAGGCATTTGATAGCATGGGGAACATGCATTGTAAAATATTTCACAGTCCTGTGGAATCTCAACTAAAGTTGTCAACATCATCAAGGCAAAATATAGCTATGTAAAATGTTCTATAAGGTTGAACAGCCAGGTAACAGAGTTGTTCATCGTGGATGTTGGCACAAAACCGGGGCTTCATTTTATAACTTCGCTTGATTGGCATATCTGTGGACTGGATAATGAAGGAATGTGTTAGCAACAGAAACACTGTTATAGCATGGATAGATGGCAAATGTCAAAAAGACTTAAACTTTGCTGATGATATTTTGCTAGTGAGTGAGAAGCATGTAATTTGGCAAAAATTGAAAGCAACCAGGGTTCAAAATGAATCCTGTTAAAACTTCCTTGAAACTCAGAAGTCAAACAGTAACATCCCATTCGAAGGCAAAAACCATTAAGAAATAATGGTTTAGAATAGAATAGTTCACCTATCAAGTAGCATCATAAACTCAGGTAGGTATGGAGATCAAAGATTTAGAGCACCAAAACAAAATGTAATCTCAGTGCTAACGTATGGCTACAAGTGTGGAAGATCTTACATTTTCTATCAAATATTAAATAGAAAAATAGACACCTTTAAAATAAGAGTTTCAGAAAGATTCTGAGCATTGGTTGGAAAGACTCCATCCCCAGCTAAGAGATCTGAGAAATCACCAATCAGCTGGTCATTTCCACCTGAACCCAGAAGAAGCATTTGGATATATTTGGGGCATATACTCTGAATGCCAACACAGACTTCCCAATGAAGCTGTCATGTAGATGCCAACTGATTGGAGGAAATGAAGGTGCCCAAGAGAAAACTTAAAAAGAAATTTTAGCAGAGAGAACGTAACTGCTGATGTCAGTACCATAAAGCAGATGGAAGCAGCAATAAATGACAGAGGGGAATGGAAGAAAATCGTTTCCACCCTATGCATCAATGTTGGCACCGGAAGGCTGTAGAATAAAACAGCTTTGTGTTAATATTGCTAACAAGTACTTGAGAAGTTTAAATATCAACTTTTTTTCAAAAATGATTCTTTACAAGTACGAGAAGGGAATGTCAATTTTGTATTTAATTTAAAGTGTTTAGTCATGTTATAATACTACTTTTTATCATTACAGTTATATGGCATCTTGCATTCCAAAGAATCTCAGTGTTTTTGTTTTGCCTCCATTTTTGTTGTGAAATACAACTTAAAAGCTCATCAATACTACACAACAACGTAAAACAGGCAGTGAGGCATGCCAAATCCTATTGAGGCTGGGCTGTAGGAAAACTAATGAGAGAGAGAGAGAGGCTGTAATTTTGCAAATTGGATTTTATCCAACATTCAATTTGTACTTTCTAATGACCACAAGTGATCAGTATCTGATTTTAATACCCTCCAAAAGGCTACAATTCCAACAACATTCTTAGAGTCTTGCAAATTTGCCAATATCTTCTTTATACCCACAGGTATCCACAAAAGGCAACCATTCCAACAACATTCTTAGAGCCTTGCAAATTTGCCAATATCTTCTTTATACCCACAGGTATCCACATCCGTGGATATGGATGCAGATATCTGTGGCTCATTTTTGCGGATATGAGTGCAAATACTAATTTTGTATCCATGCAGAGCTCTACACGTTCCACAGTAGTATACAGAGTTACTGACTCGTCACTGCTGATAAAGAAGTGAGTCCCCTCAACTGGATAATAATAGTTAGCATCTATATAGTGCTAACACTACTTTAGGGGATGACTTGGATATTTCTTGGAAGTTCCTTGTCATCTACAGATCAAATCTGATTTAGCATAGCTTGTGAGATGATTATTAATTGTATTATATTAGCATATGGAGACTCATTGTGCTGTTTGTATAGTACTCCATTATGCTGGGTACTAGACAGACAAAATAAGAAACAGCCTGATAAGATCATAGCTTGTGTCATGATTTTAAAAAAAGCTCACATTCTTTTAATGTGAAACATTTTAAAAAATACAGTAACTTGCAGAAGGGAGAAATTTAAAATGAGTTTTTAAACTGGTTTTCTTTGTCCTCAATGCTAACTCAGTGACTAGCAATGGATTGATAACTGAAATGTTCTTTATTGATTAAGAAATTTGTTTTGTAATGGGTGTACAGAGCTTTAGATGGACAACTGCCATTGTTTCTATAATTTATACATTTAAAATAATGGGGAAGTTTTACTTTAATAGAATTTATATTATATCTCCCTTGGTCTCTCACACTAGCTTATGGAATGCTGCTATCTATGCCACACTGAAAAGGATAAAGCAGTCAGAATTATTCTACTGTATTTCTTTTAACATAAGAATGCTTTTTAAGGTGTATGTTTTACTTTATAGTTGACCAGCAAATCAAATCACTGAATTTAGTCCTCCCATTGTATCGGGGTTTTGATGGAGAAAAGGGGGGAAGCAAAAACTGTTATGGAGCCAACGGTGGATACACGTATGTCAAAGTAAGCTGCTGAAGTTGACCGTCAAAAGTTTTATGTGAGAGTTCAGGCCTTAGTCCTGCAAAAGTTTAGCTGTGTGAGTTGGGATATTAACCGGTAAGCATATTGGCAAGCCTCATGCTTACTAGCCACGCTGGGCTGGAGCAACCCCAGCCATGGAGGGTCAACAGGCCAGTCAGCAGGACCTCATGGTCGCAACAGGACCCATGGCCATGACGGAACCAGGAGTGGGATGGGTGGCAATAGGAATGTGAACGACGAGTCAACTATCTGATAAGCAAATGCTTATCGGATAGTCAGCAGGCCAGTCGACTAGTTGCTCCCCCCACCCCTTGCTGCCTCTGTCAGAAAGAGGGTACTTCAAAGCAGCAGCATTTCATGGAGCTTGGGGCCAGACCCCGGGCTCCACGCGGCGCTGCTGCTTTGAAACACCACATGCAGCCCAGGGCCAGCTGGGGTGTTCTCAGGCTGCACGTGGTGTTTCAAAGTGGCAGCACTGTATGGAGCCCAAGATCAGCTGGGACTCCCCTGCTGACCCCGTGCTCCATGCAGCACTGCCGCTTTGAAATGCCGTGAGGAGCCTGAGGCCAGGGCTCCATGCAGCACTTTTGCCTTAGAAATGTAGCAACAGCCCAGGGTGTTGGGCTATTGCCACACTTCAAAGGCAGAGGCAGGGTGTTGGGCTGTTGCCACACTTCAAAGGCAGAGGCGTCCTATAGACTAATCAAATAGTTGGTGCAAAATGCATCAACTATTTGATTAGTCAGTTACTCGATATTTAACATCCCTAGGTGGCAAGCCCTGAGTTAAAACAGTTAATTGTTTTAACATCCCTAGTGTAAGTCACTTTATTCATGTGAGTAGTCCTAGTGGGACTAGTCAAAGCAGTGAAACACACAACTTGTTAAATTAGAGCAGTATTTTTCCCAGGCTGGTTCTGCTACCTGTGACGTGTCCATTTTGATGCCAACCCTTAATATGCTTTCCAAACTCATGACTACATTTTTTAGCAATGTTGTTGTTTGTATTCCCATGTGAGAACAGATTTCTAGGGATGTGAAAGATTAACCGGTAAGGATCATGGGTGATGCTTACTGTTTTGGTTAACCAGTGGTGTCTGTAGCAGCTTCCCACCTGCAGCAGATGGGCTGCCATGATGTCCAGAGCAGCCCAGGCATCCTGCAGGTAGGGGCTGCTCTGGCAGACTGGGGTAGAAAATGGTTTGGGGTGGAGAGGGGGCTACTTATTTGATATGCTGGCAGGCAAAATGGCAGAGCCCCAAGCCTGACTGGCCATTCCCTTTGTGGTACAATTTCCCCCAGTGGACACTTTGCAAGGTAGTTCTCCCCTGTGGGCTCGCTGCACTCAGTGGCCGCTCTCATATCACGTCCTTCCGAATAGCTGCCCCTCATTTTGCATGTTAGGAAAAACAGTCCTTTTCTCAGGCTTCTCAGTTGTCCTGGTACAACCAGACCCTGACCTTGCTTTAAGTTAGGAGAAGAGGAAGCTACATGCTCGATTTGGGGCTCCTCTTATCGTTTAGGAGGAGTTCTTGAGCAAATGGACTTGCAGACAGACACACAGATAGACGCACTCTAAAATATGTGTGTGTATATATATGTGTGTATATTTATGTTTGGTTGGTAGATAGATTTGATGATGATTTTTTATGATAATACCCAAAATCAGGATAGCATTTTTCAAGTAGCAAAGAAGACAATATCCAGACAAACCATACACATACCTCAGCAAGGTGTCAATAGCAATGCATCATCTTGGTTCGGTGTTTTTAAAATTAAAAACTAAGACAGATTCCCTGCCTATCTATTGCTGCTTTCTTATTTTTTAAATTTGTTTTAAAATGTAAATCATTCTTACCTTTCTTTTTAGCTACCCCGTGTGATCCCTAAACTGCTTATGCCCTGATTGGTATCCTGAATGGATTCACCACCACTGTCACCCCTCTCCAATTGTTCTGTGATATTTGGGACAGGAAACACACAAAAACCCCCAAAACAACTAAAGTTATAAGTGTCCAACCATGCTTTCTGGGTCTAGAGAGAGTGTGCTTCTTTGACTTCTGCTTGATCTTGATCCTAACAACTCCTTTAACATTTTGCCAGCTGAGAGATGGAGGGTTGTGGTATTAGCTAGATTCTGAAGACATTTCTAGCCACAGGGAACAGTTGAACAGTACTCTTAAATATATGAACTGTAATAGTTTGTTTTTGTTTAGAATTTTTTTCTCTTTTCAAGGTTCCTGTAGGCTTAATAGTCTGGTTTTGTTTAGAATTTTTTCTCTTTTCAAGGTTCCTGTAGGCACGCTAGTTAAGGAGAATGGGAAAACTGTGGCTAATCTTGCACAGCATGGTGAAGAATATGTTGCAGCTTATGGAGGAACTGGAGGGAAGGGTAACCGGTTCTTTCTGTCCAATGAGAATCGAGCACCAGTGACAGATACTGCAGGAGAACCAGGTCAGAAAAGAGTCCTCGATTTGGAGCTCAAAATTATGGCTCATGCAGGACTGGTAGGTATTGCCTTTTTTGTTTTTTTAGCCTTTGATACACGCTTCCAAGATGTCACTTGATTGGCTGAAGAAGAAATGTTGCTTTGATATATTTTGATCTCTCAGCAAGTTTGTTTGGGAGATGAATGTCAATGATTATTTAGTAGAGGAGTATCCTGAGTGATTTGCCTTTGTCGTTTTCTTGCTACTAATTACATATAAGGTTGATGCCTTATCTCTTTGATAAAAGGCTTCATGTCAAATTAACAGGAAACAAGGTACAGGCTTCAATAATTGTAGTAATAAAATAGTTTCCTAAAAATGTCTCTTTAGAAAATATCTTGACATAACACAGGGCTTGAATCCATGAATGCTACAAAGTTATCATCAAAGATCATACCCCCCAGTCTTTGACATTTAAAATGAGAACTTTTGTATACTGCTTTTAAAGTAATTGGACAAGCTGTTTCTGGAAAACATGATGACATGCACTAAGACAGGATCCTTCACCTACCAACCATCAAGGAACACTCTTAAATAATGTTATTTTTTTAACAAAGCCATAATCCTCTTTCAGTGTTTAAATGTTTAACTCGGTTAGGTTTCAGATATGTACACTTTGTCATAGCATTACCAAACCATTAAAAGTTAAATGCTAAGTCAATTTGTTTAATCTGATTTTGTTTTTAAATCCATGCAATTTTTTTCATCTCTCTGGTGGAGCTGTTGAACAAATCCTTATTTTACAACAGTACTTAAAGTGCACATATCTTACAACTTTTGTCCGGCCCATAAAACCTTTGTAAAGGGGAAAAAAAAAAGGAACCAGCATGGCTGGGTCAGTAAACTTGACTGTATCTTTGTTGAGCAATATACTCTGGTTCTTAAACTGTCAGCGCTAAATCCAGCATTTTGAGTCCTAGCTTGCGCCCATTGAAGCCAATGTGAGTTTGGTCACTGACTAACAGGAACATTATCAGGACTTAAAATTGCCAAGGGGAATCCATGAGTTTCTAGCTCTCTACCATACTTACCATAGTACTTGTTGAGAGTGATTATCCTCAGCAGGCTGTTTACCCTGCTCACACCTGTCTGTATCCTATCGCCATTCTACAGTTATTCCTCCCAACAAACATAGGCTGCCTAGGAAAGTGTTTCAAGATGTAGGTGTTAGTGGTGAGGGAGAACTAGTCTCACAGAGAGACTGAAATAGTAGAATAAAGAGAAAACTGTTAACAGAACCATAATATGATCTGCGGGTAAGCTTTCTTACAGTCCAAATGAGATGATTAATGTCAGGTATAGGGATGTTAGTGTACAGTCGAGTAAACAATTAACTGACAAGACCAGGCTTATAAAACACTCCCTCCCTGCCCTCTCCCTTGCTGCTTCTGAATCAGAGGCAATGGAAGAGGAGAAGAGAGGCAGGAGCTGGTGTCCGTGAGGCGTCATTCACTCCTGTGCTGCTGCCTTTAATAGGCAGCAGCGTGGACAGTGAGGAGGACAGGTGGGAGCCAGTATCCATGGGGAGCCAGCTTTTAAGCCATCTCTTGTGCATGCTGGCTCTGCAGAGCCACCTGCCTCACGCTGCTGCTTCTCACAGGCAGGAGGGGAGGAGCTGAC